ATAGAACAGAATAGAAAAATGAATAGAATAGAAACGAACAGACCAGAATAAAGAATAAAACTGAATAATAGGATAGAATAGAAAGAACAGAAATAGAGAAAATAAAAGAATAGAATCAAATAGAGTAGAATAGAAAAAAAAAAAATAGAACAGATACAGCCATCTTCTGAAATTCTAATTTTGAATAATTAGAAAATAACAAATATATGAAACGAATCATTCTAACATAACGTATAAGACGAAACAAAACTGGAAAGAAACACGTTTTTCCCACCTTGCACATCTCTAATACATACAGAATAAGAACAGATACTGAGAATTACACCCGGCATTCAGGACAAGAGAAGTGGTGCTGTGCAAAGTCCAAACATACACAATAAAACAGATACTAAGAACTACAAAACAGTGCACAGATGATGGGAAGCAGTACTGTGTCCCAAAACTGTGCAATCCCCATGTTTAAATGCTGCCGATCTCCTAGAAACAATATCCAACACAAGGATGAGATATGCATTTACTGCATTTTATACATAGGTCTTGCAAAATACAGGACATCTGCCAACTATGTCAAGAAGAGAGCTGGGCCAGGTTTCCAGAGAATGGGAGAAATCATGGGAAATGTGTACATCATACAGGGGAAATAAGCGAGGGGGGGGGTGGTAAAAAAAAAACAAAAACAAGGTGCACTTTTATATCTTTTTTTTTTACTTTTAGTACTATTTTTTATATTATTTTTCCTTTTATTTTTTACTTGTATTACTTTTTTTTATTACTTTTTTTATTACTGTTATTTTCTTTATTTTTATATAAAATTTTATGTTATTTTATTTTTTTACTGTTTTTTTATTACTTTTTTATTATTTTCTTTATTTTTTTACTTTATTTTATTATTTTTTTCTTTTCTTACATTTTTGTTTACTTCAATTAATTACTTTTTAATTTTTTTATTTAACTTGTATTACTATATATACACATTTTTAGATTTTTACACTCCCAGTAATAACGTGATTTGGCTGATTTTACTGACAAGTCCAATTTAAGAAAAAAAGGCTCTAACACAACAAAAAGAAATTCTCCTCAGAAATCCTTATTTTCAATATAAGTACCCAGGAGAGACTCATGCGTTTCTTTCTTGCTGGAGCAGAGAATTGCCTCTACATAGCGAACTTGAAATGAAGTGCAGCCAAGTAAGGCCAAACTGGACTATTATCACACTGCTGCAAGTTTAGCGGTTCCAGGAATTTTAGTCTCTGTGCTATATGAAGACAGAGATGAAATAGAGCAGAAATAAATCATCACAGACAAGGTGAAATATCTGTCTTGTAAAACAATCTTAAAACATTTAGATCTTCTGCTTCAAGTTTCACTTTAGCCAGTCACAAACATTTCACAATTAATCTTAGTGGACACAAACTAGCTGCCGCATGGGTCCAACCCGTCTGCCGCACCTTGGTGCCTGATAGCAAAATCCCTTATAGTCCTCAGTATCCTCATCCTCTGACTGTCCCCGAATTTGTGCCTGCAAAAATGCTGGCCAGTCAAGAACCACCCATGTATAAATAGCTGGAAACTGTTGAAAATGGTACATCTTGAGAATGGGGGCAGAATATGGGATGGGGTGGTAGCCCAATAATGCTTAAAAGAGAATGGGGCTTAAAAGGTAAGTCCAGAGTCTATAGCAAAAAAACAAATCAATGTCAAAAAGCACAGTGCTGTTTTATAGGCTACATAATGTTTATAGGCTATAGGGTAGACCAGTCTTTCTCAACCTTTTTAGGTTTGGGGAACCCCCTGGTAAAACCAATTTATATGGGGAAGTAGGAAAAATTCACCTTATAATGGTGATCAGTGGGAAGAATGCCCCTTATGTTGGTGATCAGCGAGAAGCATGCCCCTTACGTTGATGATCAGTGGGAAGAATGCCCCTTACATTGGTGATCAGCGGGAAGAATGCCCCTTACATTGGTGGTCAGCGGGAAGAATGCCCCTTACATTGGTGATCAGCGGGAAGAATGCCCCTTACATTGGTGGTCAGCGGGAAGAATGCCCCTTACATTGGTGGTCAGTGGGAAGAATGACCCTTACATTGGTGGTCAGTGGGAAGAATGACCCTTACATTGGAGGTCAGTGGGAAGAATGCCCCTTACGTTGGTGATCAGCGAAAAGAATGTCCCTTACATTGGTGATCAGCGAAAAGAATGTCCCTTACATTGGTGATCAGCGAGAAGAATGTCCCTTACATTGGTGATCAGCGAGAAGAATGTCCCTTACATTGGTGATCAGCGAGAAGAATGTCCCTTACATTGGTGATCAGCGAGAAGAATTCCCCTTACATTGGTGATCAGCGAGAAGAATGTCCCTTACGTTGGTGATCAGCGAGAAGAATTCCCCTTACTTAGGTAACTAGTCAGTGAGAAAAATGCCCCTTACATTGTGATCAGTAAGAAGAATGCCCCTTACAGTGGTGGTCAGTGGGAAGAATGCCCCTTACAGTGGTGGTCAGTGGGAAGAATGCCCCTTACAGTGGTGGTCAGTGGGAAGAATGCCCCTTACAGTGGTGGTCAGTGGGAAGAATGCCCCTTACAGTGGTGGTCAGTGGGAAGAATGCTCCTTACATTGGTAACTAGTCAGTGAGAAGAATGCCCCTTACATTGTGATCAGTAAGAAGAATGTTCCTTACATTCATGATCAGTGGGAAGAATGCCCCTTACATTGGTGATCAGTGGGAAGAATGCCCCTTACATTGGTGATCAGTGGGAAGAATGCCCCTTACATTGGTGATCAGTGGGAAGAATGCCCCTTACATTGGTGATCAGTGGGAAGAATGCCCCTTACATTGGTGATCAGTGGGAAGAATGCCCCTTACATTGGTGATCAGTGGGAAGAATGCCCCTTACATTGGTGGTCAGTGAGAAGAATGCCCCTTACATTGTCATCAGTAAGAATTATTATTATACAGGATTTATATAGCGCCAACAGTTTGCGCAGTGCTTTACAATATAAAGGAGACAGTACAATTACAATACATTTCAGTACAGAAGGAATAGGAGGGCCCGGCTCATGGAGCTTACAATCTAGAGGATAATTCCCCTTACATTGTGATCAGTAAGAAGATTGCCCCTTACAGTGGTGGTCAGTGGGAAGAATGTCCCTTACATTGGTGATCAATGAGAAGATTACCCCTTACATTGTGATCAGTAAGACTACCCCTTACATTCTGATCAGTAAGAATACCCCTTACATTGGAGGTCAATAGGAAGAATGCTTCTTGACATTGGTAATCAGTAGGAAGAATGTCACCTTTACAGACATTAAAGAATATCACTGGTTTTATGCTATTGGTTTTGTCATATGGCATTTGCCCAGGAACTGTGTAGGCACCATCAAATGGGAGGTCAGTCAGTCACAACTCAGGGAACCCCTAACAAATTCTGTAGAAACATTAGAGTTCCCATGAAACCCTGATTGAGAGTGGCTGGGCTAGACCCATCCTCTCTTACCCCATGACTTACTTTGTTCTTGCCTAAAATGACACAGATTCTTCATCTGGTGTCTTCCCATCCCCTCTTCTTACACCATTACCTCCAGCATTGACCTCCCTTCTCAAATACCCCCAGCTACTCTCCTGTGATGTGGACACCTACATCTGGTTGAAGGGACACTGGCCCCCCAGGTAGTGGTGACACAGGTTCAGTTTGGGGCAATCCTGCTTTTCCTCCTCTGGGAGAAGGCATCAGGTGCAGACCCCCAGGAAGTGGATCGTTTCATTAGCTTGTAAGGCAGTAGAAGACACATGAGCCAGTTTGAGGAACCACAGTGTCCATTGGGTAGCACATATTTGACCCACCAAAAAGTCACATGCTGTGGCCAGAGAGTAGTTATGGGATGGAGATTGAATAATACCTGTTCTTTCATAGCCTGGGCATTATGCATAATGGTGTATTCACATTAGGGTGTACGTACCATACACAAATACATTTTACCCCCAAAGTCTAGTTCTTTTTACTAGCATGAGCCCCATATACCATGCTCTGCAAGGGTTCAATGTAACATGCCTTTGCCAGATTGAAAGTGGTGCTCTTGGGCACAATTCTTTTGTGCTCTATCACACATACAACATGTGTACTGTGCCAGATTAGCTCCCAGGATCAGGGCCCTCCTAACCCTTTTGCATTGAACTGTATCATTGCTGTATTGTCTCCCTTTATATTGTAAAGCGCTGAACAAACTGTTGGTGCCATAAATCCTGTATTATAATAATAATTGCCACCCATGCACGAGCACAGAGCTTTCGTGGTTCGCTGACCACTTAGAAAGCATGAAACGGAACACTGTGGCGTGGCTTGCCAATGTAACCCTGCTCAGGCCTGGCCCAATGTGAGAGCAGACCAGTGGAGAAGCACGGAGGGGAGACAGTCATACTTGGGCAAGTCAATCGTGCCTAATGTCAGTACACCCTGACCCTGTGGTGACCCACTGAGCTTGGGTTGGACACCTAGTTTTGATAGGGTAACATGGCACAGTGAAGAATAGGTATCTGGGTGTGTAGACAGTTCTCCAAACCACTGCCCATGGGCCAGATGTGCCCTTTGCTTGCCTTTATTCGGCCCTTGGGGCACTATTCCTCCCACTGACAACAATGATGGAACACCATTCCTCCTACATACACCAATGATTTGGCTCCATTCCTCCCACAGACACCAACGATGGGGCACCATTCCTACCTTGAATACCAACAATGGACCACCATTCCTCCTAATGATACCAATAGGGCACTATTCCTTCCACTAAAACCAATGATGGGTCACTATTCCTCCAACTGACACCAATTATGGGGCTCCATTCCTCCCACAGACACCAATGATGGGGCACTATTCCTACCTTGAATACAAAAAATGGAGCACCATTCCTCCTAATGATACGAATAATAGGGCACTATTCCTCCAACTGACACCAATGATGGGGATACATTCCTCTCACAGACACCAACGATGGGGCAATATTCCTCCCACTGATACCAATGATGGGGCACTATTCCTCCCACTGACACCAATGATGGGGCACTATTCCTCCCACTGACACCAATGATGGGGCACTATTCCTCCCACCGATACCAATGATGGGGCACTATTCCTCCCACTGATACCAATGATGGGGATACATTCCTCTCACAGACACCAACGATGGGGCACTATTCCTACCTTGAATACAAAGAATGGAGCACCATTCCTCCTAATGATACCAAGAATAGGGCACTATTCCTTCCACTCAAACCAATGATGGGGCACAGTTTACTCTCAATGACACCAGTGCTTTTTCAAAACCAACAGGCCACAGTCCGGCCCCTCTAAAGCCTCAAGAACAGTAAACTGACCCTTTGTTTGGAAAGTTTGGAGACCCCTGGTGTAGAGAATGACGGGGGTTGTTCTTTAAGAGAACCTATCACGTTATCTTTAACAGACATTATGATTGATAAGCCTTGTTCCAAACAAAAATGGCTATAAAACAGCCTCTTGTACTAAAAGGAAGGGAAAAAGTATGCTACAAATGTGACGGTCATCAGGTGTCTGAAAATAGGGTGTTCTGATCTCTCCGTCTCATAGTGTTCTGCAGGTTATTACACAACCACCAAAGTCACATCAGTTGTATCACAGGCTGCCTCGTGTCCCTGGGAACTTGAGGCAAGACCAGCTGTGACAGATTGCAGTACATATCACAGACAGGTCAGGGGCGAGGCTTGCGTATGGGACCCCTAACACGTGGATTGCACGGCGTTATTGGACGACGTGTGTATAGATTAGCGGCATTCCTGTCAATCAAACAAGGATTTCCCCACCAAAAAAGAGACAGATGGCGATAAACAATCCAGATAAATTGCTCAATTTAAAAAAAACAGGGCTTTGTAAAGCAGAAGCTGTATGTAAAATAAACATATCGTAACCCAGAATTACAAAATAATTAAGGTGGCAAAATATTTTAAATCAGTAATAATTCCAAAACCAAAAATGTACTATACTGCAGCTTACCAATCATTAGATGTAGTGGCTGCATTAGTTTCCTTTTTGTATGCTTTTTACCCTCTCCCTGTTTTCACCTGGTAATCTGGCCAGTAACACCTCCTGTATCCTGTGCCCCCACTCTGGATGAAGGAGCACAGGGGGCACCTTTGGACAGCAGCATTGTCAGTCTGGGGTAGAGGGGAGTGTTAGATGTACTAGCAGATTTAGATACACTAACAATTTGAAGCTGAACTCCAGCTCATATTGCACTTACACAAGCAGTTACAGCAAACATTTTTCTTTTCTCTTTGGGTTAAAGCTTTTACACAAATGAATAAAAGCTGATCATTGTAAGCACCTTTGTCACAATACTCTTAACTGATACATTTGCATGAGAGCTTCTTCAGTTGAAAAACAACAGACTTACTGGCAGGATTACCAGGTGAAAATACAAGGAAAGAAAGCCTGACCCTTGTTTCATACAGTACCTGTTTGGTTTTTTTTTTTTTTTTGTTTAGCATAAAAACATGGTTTCCTATGGGTCTAGCTCACATCTGTGCATTTTGAGCTGGTGCATTTTTGGAAAGGGTCAAGGACTTTTTTCCTGCAACAGATTGCGTTTTGCATGTAACAGAGTTCAATGTACCTGCACCAAAATGCAAGTGTTGGGTTTTTGATGCGATTTGCTTTTTTGGGGGGGGTTTTTTGGCTAATAGGCAAGTATGAAAGTTCTGTTCATGTAGTATGACTGATGCAACACTTTCTGGCACTTAAGTAGCATCAACATTGTATCAAAGTAGTGCAGAAATCTTTATGTGTCCAAAGTTGAATGTTAGGGTTAAGGGCTAGGGCAGGGGTGTCCCAAGGGTTGGTGTCACCCAGTGCGATAACACTTGGTGACACCCCCTCCGACGATCCCCGCAGAATGGATCAAATCCGTGGATTGTTCATAATGGATCGGACTCCGATCCATTATGCTTCCCAATACGCAGATCCGATCCATCCTGCGGGGATCATTGGCTTTCTTTACAACTTACCTTTTCGTGGAGCAGGTCCAGTGTCACCCCATATAGGTTGCGTGCCGACGTTCCCCACAGAATGGATCGGATCTGCAGATTGAGCATAATGGATCGGAGTCCGATCCATTATGCTCCCCAATCCGCAGATCCGATCCATCCTGCGGAGATAGTCGGCATGCAACCTATATGGGGTGACATTGGACCCCCCCCCCTTTTCGTGGAGCGAGTCCAGTGTCACCCCGTGTGGTAGGTGTCACCCGGTGCGGCGCGTACCCCCCGCACCTGCCTTGGGACGCCACTGGGCTAGGGTTAGCAGTAACTGTTCGGGTTAAAATACGAACCCTAATGATTATCGCTAACCCTAATGTTTACCACTAACCCTAGCCTTAAATTCTAACCCTTTGATGCTACCTTGATGTGACTTTACACTCTCTGGAATTCATGTAGCATCAGTCGCATTAAAGGAACAAAAAACTGTCATACTTTTCTATTATCCAAAAAAAATGTGACTTTGGACACATAAAAAGGTTCCTGCACTACTTTGATGCAACTTGTGTTAGGGTTAACCTCTTCACGCGGCTCCTCCCGGCCCTTTAAGGGGTTTCAGATGCCGGGAGATGGGGCGGGGTTTTAGGGGCACGTGACAGCAAATCACGGCGGTCACATGTTCGGAAAAGGTCCCAATCGCAAGGGGAGATCGGGACCTTTCCGTAAGACACCGACGTACTGGGAGCGAGCAGGGCGCGCGCTCTCAGCACATATGTGTTTTCAAATGGTATGTAAATATGCGGCTGCTCGGCGTCAAGGCCCAGCTGCCGGGAGGCCACATAGTTGCGTACAGTCAGTTGGCATCAAGGGGTTAAACTTAGAGTTAAGGTTAGCAGTAATTATTATTATTATTATTATACAGGATTTATATAGCGCCAACAGTTTGCACAGCGCTGTACAAAATGAAGGGAGACAGTACAGTGACAATACAATTTGGTACAAGAGGAAACAGGGCCCTGCTTGTTAGAGCTTACAATCTAGTTACCTCCAACCCTAACCCTATTACCCCTTTCCCTAATATTTACCACCCAACCCTAATCCTTTCACCCCTATACCCAATATTTACCACCGACCCTAACCCTATTACCCCTATCCCTAATATTTACCTCCAATCCTAACCCTATCACCCCTATACCTAATATTTACCACCAACCCTAACCCTATCACCCCTATACCTAATATTTACCACCAACCCTAACCCTATTACCCCTATACCTAATATTTACCACCAACCCAACCCTAACCCTATCACCCCTATACCTAATATTTACCACCAACCCTAACCCTATCACCCCTATACCTAATATTTACCACCAACCCTAACCCTATTACCCCTATACCTAATATTTACTGCCAGCCCTAACCCTATTACTCCTATACTTAATATTTACCACCAACCCTAACCCTATCACCCCTATACCTAATATTTACCGCCAACCCTAACCCTATCACCCCTATACCTAATATTTACCGCCAACCCTAACCCTATCACCCCTATACCTAATATTTACCACCAACCCTAACCCTATCACCCTTATAGCTAATATTTACCGCCAACCCTAACCCTATCACCCTTATAGCTAATATTTACCGCCAACCCTAACCCTATCACCCCTATACCTAATATTTACCGCCAACCCTAACCCTATCACCCTTATAGCTAATATTTACCACCAACCCTAACCCTATCACCCCTATACCTAATATTTACCACCAACCCTAACCCTATCACCCCTATACCTAATATTTACCACCAACCCTAACCCTATCACCCCTATACCTAATATTTACCGCCAACCCTAACCCTATCACCCTTATAGCTAATATTTACCACCAACCCTAACCCTATCACCCCTATACCTAATATTTACCGCCAACCCTAACCCTATCACCCTTATACCTAATATTTACCACCAACCCTAACCCTATCACCCCTATACCTAATATTTACCACTAACCCTAACCCTATCACCCCTATACCTAATATTTACCACTAACCCTAACCCTATTACCCCTAATATTTACTGCCAACCCTAACCCTATCACCCCTATCCCTAATATTTACCACTAACCCTATTACCCCTATACCTAATATTTACCACCAGCCCTAACCCTATTACCCCTAATATTTACCACTAACCCTAACCCTAGCCCTTAACCCTAACATGCGACTTTGAACACATAAAGGTTCCTGTAGTACTTTGATGTGACGTTGATGCTATTTGAGTGCCAGAGAGAGTAAAGTCGCATCAAAGTCACACTGCATGAACAGAACTGAAACAAAAAAAAAAAAAAAAAAGCAAAACACATTGAAAAACACATAAAAACGCATATTTAAAAACACAAAAGGTGTCGGAAAAACGCATCAACTGCAACCTGCATAACAAACAGAACACAAGTCTCAAATTGCACAGGAAGATAGTTATAAAGCAGTATCTGTGCTAAAAATCACTAATGAGTTTATTTTAATCTGTTCCCTCTCCAGACTGCCCATATAAATCATGGATTTGCATGATGAGATAATGGCATTCTATGCACATCACCAGCACGCTGATTAGAGGGTGTTAATTGGCCACTAAGATGATATCTGACCTTCTGTTGCTGGCTTGAAATTGAGCAAGGCTGTCTATCCCTCTCCAGTGATCAGTGCAAACATCCAGTGGTCTGCACACGTAACTGACACCGACACTCGCCAAAACACACCGGTGGGAAGCAGCCGAAACGAGGACTAAATATATGTTGCGTCAGAGGTGTTAAAATGTCATATGTTCCCACCGAAAGGTATTTTTACTTTTTCAAACTTTCAATGAAAATCAGAGATTGCTAACGTAGGTGAAAGCATATTTTGAAATCTCAGGACCCTCTCCTACAGATGCCCTTGAATTAAATTTGCTAAAATGACCAATTCCATTACAAATGTCGGATTTTATTAAAGAGCAATACCAAGCAGCAAGTGAGACCAATCAGTGAGCAGCAAGGCTATGCAGCAGATACTGCAACTGTGCTACAATCGGAACTCTTCCTTAATTTACCCTATTCTGAGTTCTCTGTAGCTTTACTCTAGAAAACATCTCACAGATTGAGTGATGCAGGAAGCATCACTCAATCACATAGTCTGTCTTTTTCTGTTTTCGCATAATGAAAGCCTGAGCCTATTGAATACAATGGACTCTCTGGGTGGCTAACTGATCTTGTCTCAGCAGTTCTTTATCAGGAAAGTCAAGCAGACTCCCTGTTATAAAGGTACCCGTTAGAGCAGCCCGTCTCAACTATTATACTCCAGGGGCATTCTTAAAAAAATATTTTCAGGACTTGTGGAACCCTAAAACCTAAGTTAATAGAGGTCAGTGGGAAGAATGCACCTTCCATTGGTGGTCGGTGGGAAGAATGCACCTTCCATTGGTG